AATAATATAAAAGTTCTTTATGCATATTGTAACATCTTAAGTTCCCCAATTAGTAGTTATTAATGTTTTCTAAGGGTAATTTGATCAATTTAGATAAATTACTTATTAATGAGATTTATGGAAGACTAATATAGTTTTTGAATCCTCGGATAGCCTTAAAAGAGGGTTAGGTCAATGTTTGAGCGGCCCATAGCATGAAAGGGAGTTTAAATTTTAGTGTGGCTTTTTGTGCCATGCACCATAGCGGGCATGTCAATGTGTCGCAGTGCTCGTGCAAAATCAGCACTTATTAGATCGTGAAAATAGACTCGAAATTAGAAGGAAGAAAGAAGGAAAATGAGAGAGTGACAGAGAGGAGCTCATGATCTGCTAGGGCACAATCCTTAGGCTATATTAGGAGCATTTAGAGCTTGAATCATCATTGGATAAGTTCTACATTCTCTCTCCTTCCCCATTTATGCAAATTTCTTACTTAAGTGGTAGTATGGGGTTTGATTTTGATTTCCTTAGGTTTAAACTGAACCCATTAAATTATTTAAGGTCTTAGGGAGTTAAATCAAGCCTTCAACCCTAATTTTATAAGTTTTATAGTGATTGTAAATTTTTGTTAAGGGTTTGGACGAACCTTAAGCATAATCTAGAGGTTTTGAGGCAATGTAAGGAATTGGCTAGTGATTTTGGTGTATTGGGATGTTTAATAGGAAGGTTAGAGTGTTTGGGAATGGTTGATATTGTTAGAAAAGGGATTTGGATATTTTAGGCATTTTAAACCTAGTGAATTCAAGGTTATTCGAAGTGATAAATGAAAATTGTCACTTAATTGTATATATTGAGTGTTGCTCGAGCTACTTTATGCATATAGAATGTGTAGAGCTAACGTTAAGCTATGGCAACCCTTTTGTATGACAAAGGGTTGAGGTAATGAAATAATTTACACTGATTGATTATACTGCTTAACTGTTTATGAGTAGATAAATATATGTGTTTACATGTGTTTTGAAAGCTTGGCATATTGTGAAAGATGATTTTCTCATGCATTAGAAACTACTTTCAAAGTGATAAGGAAATTTAAGTTCTTATGTGAAAATTTTTGATTTCTTATAAGCTTGTGAAATGTGTGGTAATTTAAGCATGACCATGTTAGGGGGTGAGTGTTCACCTATAGAAAGGAGTAGTGGAAGTCCATATGGCATATTTCTCCTTAGTGTCTAGTGAGGCACGGTATTAGAGATTTTCTCCTTAGTATCCATGCAGGATAAAGCGTTAGAGAGTGACACTCCTTAGCATTAATGATACAATGTTAGAGTAATGACACCCTGATTCGTGTGCGATAAGGAGAGATCATAATCTAAAAGTGGGATAAGTCACCTTTGGCTAAGTGATCCTACCACTGAAGGTGAGCTTAGACCATTATGAGGATGCACTTAGTTCAAGAGCCTATGGTTTCAATCGGGGTGATATGAAGGCTCGGATGGTAGAATGATCAAACTAGTGGTAAATGATTTATATTGATGAAAAAGAATATGTTGTAATATGCTAAAAGTAAATTTTAGAGTTTTATAACTTTACTTTGTTATGGTTGTACATGTTAATTAATAGTAGTGAATTATTCTGTTACTGAGATGTTGATCTTACCCCGTGGCTATATTCTACTAGTGAGGGCTCTGGTAGGGGCAAGGGAAAGGAAGGGCATCTGAAGAGTGAAGAGTATAGTCGTATAGCTCTTTCCTTTCTTTTTTTTGGGTATTGTAACGAATATTGTCAATATATATTGCCAACTTAGGAATATGACATTACTTTAGAATATCACTTGTAATTTGTGATAAGTGTGCGTATCTTGGTCCAAGGTTGATGTTGTGTGTGCTTGGCTAAGTTACAATTACAAGTGATATAATTGAAGTGATTTATGTACCAAAATGACTAAGTTGATATGTGTGCTAAATTGAATCCACCCCTTTATGTTGTTATGAATTAGGGTTTTGATGGTCATTTTGAGTGTGAATGCTTAATTGTATGTGATGATTGAATTGTCATGTTGTGTGGTGTCCATTTGAGGTAGTCAAAGTGTCTCTAGGGCTAATGGCATTCGGCATTATGCCTTTGTGTGTGTTTTGAGGTGAAAACAAAATATTTTGGGTTTGAGTGTCCATCTTTTAAATAAATGATTATTTAAGTATGAGACCAGTGTCATTAGCTAGAGGGCTTAAAGAACTTCGTGTGGACACTTGAACCACTTAAATTGGATGTTGGATGGGAAAACAACATGCTCTAAAAGTTCAAATAACTGTCATGACAGTAATCTGCTGTCATGATAGTAGGTGTGCACCACGATGCAAGTAGCCTTCGAAGAACTCAACCCTTTGTGCTATTCATCATGGTGGACGGGCCAGAATCTAGAGAATTTCTAGATTTGCTTTAGCTTGTTTCAATTGCTGTTTTGATTTCCATACTTCCGTTACCATATTTAATTAATTTTGAACTATAGTTAGAGCTCAAACAATATTTTAAAATGGGTTTTCTTGAGATCTTATTATTTTAACTAATTATCCTTTAAAACCCTTGGGTTGTGATAACATTTGCTTGAGATTTTATATAATTTTAGTTATCACAACATCTTGTATGAGTGTTGTCCTGATAATATTAAGGCGAACATTACATATATAAACAACAAAAAATCCATATATAACATGACATGATCTGTACATCAACAATATAATATCCATTCATTATGTATAGTTTGTGTAATTTAGTTGAACAACAATGTATAAGTTTCTAGATGCATGAACAATATAATACCCATATATAACATGACAAGGTCCATACATTAACAACACAATATCCGTTCATTATATATAGTTTATGTGGTTTATTAAATAATAATGTACAAGTTTTATAGGTGTATGAACAACAGAATCTCTATATATAACATGATAAAGTCTATGTACTAACAACACAATGTCTTGCACACGATATCATCTTTTTAAACAAGAGTTAAATGAGTTTTTTCACTAGAAAATATATTTGTATGTATATAGAGCCTTTGAGCTTGCAAAATAAAATCAGAATGCATTGGGCCTTAGGTGCTTATTTCTTTAATTTGGGGGCCTTAGGTGTTCATTCTCCCCAAAAACACTTGGCAGCATCCTCTACCTACAAGAAGTAAACAGTCAAAATAAGGCGAAAAATTCATACGATCAACATCCGTTTGTGGTAATCAAAGTATACATACACCCACAATTTTGTATGCATAGTTATTCAACTATGTTAACCAATAATTTTATAAAATTACAAAATGTTGAATATACTGAATCAATAGCAAGACAAAGTGGCTTCCATTATCAACAATAGGGAGTAATTAATTTGCATTAGAGTGCTGGGGAAAAAAAAAAGGCCTGATATTTTTGTCTGAAATCGATGGCGAATGATTATCATCCAACGCAAAAGCCAAAGAAACGTTGCCATCATTGCAGTTTTGAAAAAGAAAACTTTGTTCCTTTTTCTTTTCCACTTGCATTTAGCCCTTTGAGAATCCTAATGTCCTCAGAGAATGACAGTTTACGTGTGCTTTCTACATATACACGGACCCACTTAACAAAAAAGAAAAAAAGAAAAAAAAAAAAGACCCACTTACACATATATGATTTAAAAAAAATTACATTCAAATTCAATATAAAAAAATTTATTATCAAAAAGTCCTATAATATTTATAAAATACTTTCAAATCTCAAATTCTATGCATTTATAACTTAATTAAAAGTATTGACTTGGGAATATTTTATAAATTTTATAGGACCTTTTGGTAATAGTTTACTCTTAGTCAAGTTGTAAGTGTATAGAATTTGAGATTTAAAAGTATTTTATGAATTTTATGGGACCTCTTAATAATAAATTTTTTTATGTAAAATTTGAATGTAATTTTTTCTATATATCTAAAATCAGGATATGATGCTCACTGGCAATTTTTGGTCTAACATTAGATAATTACTAAAGATGCAACTTATATCCAAAAGAACATAGATTTGAATTTTATTCTCAATATAAAAACTTTATTGATAGGTAATTTATACATATTTTATATAAATACTTTTAAACCTTAAAGTGTACCTTAGTGTTATGGAGTTTTTGAAATTTACCTTATCTAAATTTTTTTATAAGCACGATACAAATTGTGAACCATTAATAAATTTGGTGGTTTATATTTGGTTTTTTTAAAAAATAAAAAAAACTATATCATTAAATATCATTTAAATTATACAGTGGAAATAAACTCTACATGTTATGCTTTTTATTACAGGCACAATAATGAAGATCTGATCCGCCCAAAAAATGTATATAATTGAGGATATAATCGCCATTTCTATTTTTATTTTATATATTATCTATTAAAGGGGGAAAGGATATAATAGAGAACAGTATCCGATTATGAACATGCATTAAATGTGCACAATATCATATTTTAATTTTAAATCTTAAAATTATAAGTTTATGATGGACAGTTTAATTTACATATTGCTCTCACCATCCTAAATTATAAAACAATTTAAGATAAGATTATAAATACTGATAAAACTCAATAATAACACTTTTTAAACTTATTTTTTTCAAACTAAAAATACAAACTTTAAAAATGTCCCAATATTTTTAGTCATATCACTATAATCATTTTAATTATCTATTTTTTTATTTTAAGGATAATATTAAAAAATGTTAATAATTTTTTTAAAATTGTCGTATATTTTGAAATAATAATTTAATATTATTTTATAATTTGCATGATGGGGTGTTTATTAAATGTTTATTTTAATCTAAATGAAAATTCATATTTTGAGTCAAATCTATTTCACATCATAAAGCGTGATATATCAAATAATTGCCAACTGTATTCCTCATCCGTCTGGAGTTTTCTTTTTTCTTTTTTGTTTTTTTAATATGCCACATAGTCATGTACAGTGCACAAGAGGCCTTCAATTATTGTGTGACCTGCACTTTAATTATTTGATGAGGGACAAGCCTTCGTCAACCCATATTCCGCCATCTCTTTTGGGATCAGCAACAGAGGTTTCTGGTTTCTGTCAAGATTCTTTAACAAAGCTGCAGAAGAAACATCGCAACAGTGAAATTTCCGGGTCAGGGTTTTCCCTTTTGCGTTTCATAGAACTTGTAATCTTTGCGAAGTTTTGGATTTTATCAGTAATCTCTTTCTTTATTTATTTTAGGGCCAAGATCAAGCTCAAACCAAGCTGATCTTCCATGGCAGCATCGGTCTCTGTTTCTGAATCCCTGATGTCAGTTTTGAACAATTCCCCTAGTGGCTTAGGCAAAGAAGAATATACCATTACTCACTTAGCAGAGGATTCTGATAACAACTTTGATGTGATAACCCGTGATCAGATCTACAAGGAAACAATGCTCTCTCGGCTTAACTTTCTGAGTAACTACAAAACCAAGTCGGTACTAAAATCATTTCCTTTGGAAAATAAACAGCATGATGTATATTTGCTAACCCGAGACGATATTCGAAGGCACAAGAAAAAATATGACTTTCTGCATATCGGACTTGTGCAAGTTTTTGTTAGTCCTCTTCATCATCGAGGTTGTGATCAGAGAGTCTTAGTGTGCTTACGTGATGCGAAATATCCAAACTTTAAAGACTCAATCTTTGCTGCATTTGAGATGATCAGCTTGAAAAAGGGTTTCTCAAATTTCAATTGGTTCCCAAATTTCTCGTCATCTTTTTCTGATCTATCAAAGTCCAACGGCTTAGTGATAACTGTGGAGCCGCATGGCCTTTCGTTTATAGAAGGTTCTCATACGTTGGCGATTGAATACAGAATGTGTTACAAACTGATGAAGGGATCTCTTGAACCCAGAACACATCTTGAAAATCCTATCTTGGAGTTGAAAACAGAAAACATGAAAGTTCTTGCACCTAGAACCTTTAGCGGGAACTGAACTGAATCTAATGGGTTCGCTGAGAAATCTCATTTCTGGATAGCACATACAAGTGAGTATTTTAAGTTTATCCTTCTTTATAGTTTGAAGAAATTATGATGAAGATTAATGTATGAATTAAGATCGATGATGTAGCCGTCCATCTAGTACTGGCGTTTGATGTGTTCCTGCTTTGTAAATTCCAGTTTTAATGTATTAGTAATGTTTATACCTAAACCAAATGATGGAATTAACATTTGGAGTCCTGGGGTATGATGTTTTTGCCATGTTTTGATGTGTTGATGTTTCATGTGTCCTATATTGGAGAGCTTTACAAGTTAAGTATAATTTATAAGTGTGAAAGTTCTCCAACAGTCTATTTAAGAAGTAAGATAATAAGAGATTTTATTAAAATAATCATCATTAATAAAATTTCAATTTTTTTGGTTAAGAATAAGTCCCGTTGATTGTAGAGAATATCTTGGTCTCCACTAAGATACAATAAACATCTCTCAATTAAATTGCTACGTGTACAAGACTTTAGGTTCGAACCTGCAATCACTTGCATGATAAGAACAACTACACCTAGTAGCTGTGAAGGAGGGCAATGCATCCTGTACGCATGGGTAAAATTACATATATAACGTGAGAAATTTACAATCTTGTACCCCATACTTTTAGTATTTTGAACTCTCTAGATTCAATAAAAAATACTTGAAGGTCCAAATTTACTCTATATCAACCTTTTCAATATATCTTTAGCAAAAAAAAAATCTCAAAATATTTTTCTTAAATAAAAATATATGTAATTTTATTTATATTATTATATTTTTTGTCTAATGTAATTAATTTTAAAAAAATTAGAATATATTTTTAATTATTAATTTTTAAATTACATTGTTTTACATCCTCTGATTTAAGGTCATGACTCTGTCACTGCTATTACCCATTATTTAATTTTAAACATCTTATATTTTAATCTTAGACCCCGAATCACCTTCAAAAATATTTTATAAAATAATCGGGAGGAAGTCTATCACTACATTTTGAGCAGAGTAGCAGTTATGAATTATGGCATTCCTGAAAGATCAAAAACTATTCACATGGATTGAGGGGCACGGTGCATGTCTTCTTTTTGTTAAGAAGAATTCAGAGAAATTAGGTTTTGGAAACTCATTATGCCAAAACATGCTTTCATATTCAAATAACACTTATGAATATATTTGTATATTATTTATCAATAAAGTCATCACATCTCCAGTAGGATTTAAAGTCACAAGACTACAACCTTGTAAATTATAACCTAAATCCTTACCAACTAAGGGTCTATTTAAATAACTCTCAGAAGCATATTTAAATTACATTTAAGATTTGCTTTTCCTAATTCCAACAAATATTTAGATTCTTCGAATAAACTTCTATAAAATGTAATCTCAAAATCAAAGATACAATAACTAATATTTGTCGATCTGTGCATTGTAAGTCCAACCCCACACCCTTTGCCCTTTTTGCTTTAGCCTGCAACTCAGAATCTCTCTTGACAAGAGACCCCAAAGAGACTGAGAGAATAACATAAAGAAAGATAAGACCCCATCTATGTGAATTCATTCAGATTTAAGAGGTCCGCACTAAATAAAGGAAAAATGATAATTAAGGACCTCTTAAGAATATTAAACTTAATTAAGGATCATTGGGATAAAAAATTATAGTTTGTCTTAAATGTTCCTGAGATTCACTAACACCACTTGAGGATTCACCAACCCGACTTGAGAAAATTACTAACATGTATTGTGAAAAACATGAAACCTCACTTAAAAATCGGTTATTTAATAAAAAGTGACTTGTTCAAATTGAGATCCACTAACATGACGTGGGATTCACTAATGCTATTTGAATATTTACTAACCCGATATGGAAAAATTACTAACATATATTGTGAAAACAACATAATTAGGATTTCAACATAATTAGGTTTTTTTCTCAGGGGCATTTAAGACAAACTATATTTTTTATCTCAATTAAGGACTACGGGATTTCAAAATTTTATGATCCTTAATTAGAATTAATGTCCTTAAAGGGTCCTTATTATCATTTTTTCCTAAATAAAGGCCAGGTCAGCACTCCATAATCTATACTCCCTCTTTTTAAATAGTGAATTTAGATATGGACTATTCATGTTGATAATAAAATAATTTATTAAAAAATTATTTTTATAAGTTTTATAAATCATAGTACATAAAACGTGATTGAGCACTCTGCATATGATAAGTCTTATTATTATGAACCTCTCTTTTTCTAGCCATCAGATAAAACACAAGGTGAGAATTACTCACTTCCTAACCACAAATGGTTTTCCACAGCAAGAAATACATTCCCCTACGAAACTTGTATGATCTATAATTCAATATGTATACTAATGGACAACGCCTATTACATATTTTATTTCTCACTAATGAACAAGGTATAGAGTAAGTTCTAAATACTATACCAATAAAAATTGGTCTAGATGGTAAAGACTTGGCTCGTGACCCACAAGGTCATAGGTCATGCTGCCAATGTAAAGAACTTGTCAATAAGTAATTTATAAATATTTTTATAAGTACTCTTTGAGCCTAGAGACATGTCATCTTTAGAGTTATGTTCCCTCTTCCACTAGGAGTCTATTAACTACAATTGTAATTGGAAACATTTGGTTTTTGTTGGATATAATGATCAAGACATTTTCAAGACCGACCAATCTATGGTTGCCACTTTTCCATTGAAACATAAATTTTTCCACATTTTCACTTGGAAGATATTCGCATTAGACCATTGACTCGCTAGCTCATAACTCCACAATAAGTGTTCACTATTCACCAAGCAAGGTAAAGTAAAAAGTTATTCTTATTTGTTGCTAGAGTAATATATACTTTTCTTTCTCATTGTAGTAATTTCTGAATTAATGGCAAGTTTGTTTGTCATAAAAGTTCTCTTTGGTTCACTATTTTATATTTTGTATTTTTCATCATCATCATCATCATCATCATTCTATTGTTTTTTGCTGCTCTATCACTCCTTGCCAAGGTCATTGAAGAGGTAACACCTCAATCATATGTTAAATTTTACATTCTTCTTGGGACAAGTCTTTTATTTTTATTTTTTTACATTGCTTGCAGGTATCTTCCTATTGAAAGTAATTATATTTAAGGCACAATTAGCACTAAATTTGAGCACCTATCCCAAAAGAAATTCGAACTTTGGTTCGCCACATTGTAAGGAACTAATCCTTTTAGCTAGACCCAAACCCTAGTGGTGGACAAGTCTTCTATTTTCATTTGAACACTTTTTCAGGCATTTAAGGAGCAGGGGTAGTGGGTGAGTTCAAGTGATGAACTAGTGTTGTTTAAATTAGTGCGTTGATTCATGAATGGCATTTGATTTCATCAATGCAAAATGATTTTAAAAGAACTACATTTTGGACATGACTACCTCTTTTCGTTTATATTGTCCGTGGTATAGTTTGTATGTGATAATTGCACATTGGATTTTCTGAACTAATTGTTTAAGGAGTAGTAACCCTCGTTTTTTTTTTCTCATTTTTATGAGAATTTGTTATTTAATGTACCAAGTCAGGAAGCCATAGAAGCACCTCTTTGTAAAGTTATTATGTGATATTGTATTTATAGGATTTTGAAAAAAAAAAATTGTAGCACTGTATTCATGTTCATTTTGCCAATTGTTGGTTTATTTTATCATAAATTGGAATTTTTTTTATTGACAATGATTTGATTTATTTTTAAATCACATCCAATCCAAAAAAATGCCCCTATATATATATATATATATTTTAAATGTCACTTTTTAAATTGGGTGTAGTTATAATTGGTTTAGAAAGTGAACTTTTTAAACCTTATATAACTTAGATGCCAGTTATAGTTACAATACAGCCAATTTAAAAAATGACTTTCTAAATCATTTATATCTAAACTAATTCCAAAACCAGTTTTTTTTTTTTAGCAAATAGTTCCAAAACCAGTTTAGTAAGTCTTTTTTAACCTATTTAAAAAGGTTTTTTTTGTACTATTGGGGGCATTGGGAGTTGATGGGAGACTAAAAGGTTCAAATGGAAGAATTTAGGTTTGGGGTGTGAAAATCAATGGCACAGATAGAAATTCAGTACTAATTATGAGTTTCTTCTTTGTTGAAACCTTTATGTTTTGATAACCAAAATTGTGCTTAATTAGGTATATTTGCTGGTTGATTATAAAAGAAAAAAAATTAAAAATGGTCAAGGAACTTGATGGACAAGATAATTAAAGTAATACATTGAAGACTTTGTCTTACGATTGACTTTCTTTCACTTGTTGTAAATACTTTTTAAGAGACTAAATAAATTTTTCATTCGGCCAAAACTCAAATTTTCAAGTAGTTTTCAAACTTAATATCACTTCGCTAGACTTGGCTTAAGGGTTTCAAATAGTTTTCAAACTTAAAATCAATTTTTCAAAGAATTATTATTTATTTGAATTTGATTTGTATGACTATATTTGAGCATTTAGTTGTGCCTACAAAATTGTATTCATTTACGCGAAAGATTCTTTTTCTGAATAGGTAACTCAAATAGGGTTTTTTTTTTTTTGTTATTATTATCTAGGACCACATAAGCTTGAAAATGTTAGTCAAATATAAAAATGTTAGAGAAACATATTATGACTTTAAATATATGATTTATGAGATTTTACAAAGTCAAATTATAAGAAATTGAAAGGAAATTAAAAAAAAAAGAACCAATGCATATAAAATTAATCACTTTAATTAATAATGGGAAGAGTAAGAGGAAGAGCTGCCACGAGGATGGAGCTACTTGAAAATTGAAGCGCCTTGAGTTAAAGTAGTATTACAAATAGGATAAGAGTTTCTGTTTTTTTGACAGCCAATTAACTATGCAAGTCTCTCCATTAAAGAATTGGCCACATGGCATCCTTAGCTTCTTGCCATTGCTCCAACTTGAAATTCCTCTAGAAAAATTAAATGGCAGAATGTCGAAGATCATGAACACTGAGGATTGTTTGGAAATACAATTCGATTGTCCTGTGTGTCGAAATGAATTTCAAGTTGGAGCAATGGCAAGAAGGATGGCGTATAGCCACTTCTATAATGAAACTTGCATTGTTACTTGGCTATCATAAAACATACAAATGTGAAGTATAACCCCAAGATTAAAGGTGTTAGATATATGATAATATGGATGGTTTAAATACCTAAAGGACACGTCAATTTTGTGCCCACATGGAAAACACCTGAAGAA